GGCCAGCCCCAGGCTGGGCACCACCTTCCTCATCGCCCATCCTCACAGCAGCCCTCTGGCCTGGGCACCCCTCCCGCCCATTTCACAGATGAGGGGTGGAGGGGGGTCCCCGCTGGAGAGAGCGCGCATCTGTCTCACTTGTAGGCGTGGGAAGCGCTCACCTGCTTCTCTCCCCGCCGCCGTCCACGTCCACCACGTTCCACATGACGCAGGAGTCGTCGGAAATCACGATGAACGGCCAGATGTCCTGCGGCTTGATCCCCAGCTCCTCCTGCCGGTTCCGCTCCAGCTCCAGGTTGTGGTAGGACAGCTCCTTGATCAGGAAGTGGGCGGCGCCTGCAACGGCAAAGCCACCGCTGACCCCCCAGTCCCGCCGGACACCCACACGGGACACCCACACGGCACAGGCCCCGGCAGAGGGAGCACTGCTCACCGAGGCCCCACCCCCGACCAGCCAGTCCCCATGGTCCTCGCCCGCTTCCCTCGTCCACTCACTCTTAGCTGTTGACTTGGGAGAGAAAATTCTAGGGGAGAAAACACACCTCTCCCATTTGCACATACATCTGCCTGTTTATCCTTGCTTTTCTTTTCTTTTCTTAACTTAATTTTATTTTTTAAACATATTTTTATTTATTTCAGAGAGGAAAGGAAAGAGAGAGATAGAAACATCAATGATGAGAGAGAATCGTTGATGAGCCCAAAACCTGGTCATGTGCCCTTGACCAGAATCGAACCTGGGACCCTTCAGTCCGCAGGCTGACGCTCTATCCACTGAGCCAAACCGGCCAGGGCTCTTTCTCTCTTTTTCTTAATCTTTATTGTTGAAAGTATTAACTATGTCCCCTTTTATCCCCCATCGACCCCATCCAGCCCACCCCACCCCCGCCCCAGGCCCTCAGCACCCCACTGCCTGCATCCATGGGGTATGCATATATACATACAGTATCCTTGCTTCTCTAACATGAATTAAGAACCTAACCTGAACCAATAACCAAACATCAAAGGAGAAAAAGAATATTCAAATAAATCAAAATAGCTTTAAAAGTCAAAAGGCTTGCCCTAGCTGGTGTTGCTCAGTGGATAGAGCGTCGGCCTGTGGACGGAAGGGTCCCAGGTTCGATTCCAGTCAAGGGCACATGCCCGGGTTGTGGGCCCTGATCCCAGTGTGGGGCGTGCAGGAGGCAGCCAATCAATGACTCTCTCAACATTGATGTTTCTTTCTCCCTCTTACCCCCTCTCTGAAATCAGTGTGTGTGTGTGTGTATGTATATGTATATTTTAAAGCCAACAGGCTTGGTGAAAAATGCTGAACTCTGTCAGTTCTAGAACATTCTCTCGGGTCTCGGTTCCCGGGACGCCACCGAGGGGGCGCGAGAGGAGCCTACCCACGCCAGCGCTGTTGAAGCTGCTCGGCAGCACCAGCATGATGTGGTTGGGCCAGTACTTCTTATACACGGGCATCTCATACTCCTTGACGACCAGCACGTGCAAGTGGCTGGCGCCGTCCATCGCGTGGTACAGGTTGAAGAGTCCGTGCTCGTGACGGCCGGTGGTCGGAGTGAAGGTCGGGCTTTTTATATACTCGTGACTCTGGGGAGTAGAGGCAGAAGGAGGGAGAGCGTTTCTAAACGGGGTCACAGTCACTCCCCTCCCTTCGACGTGTCTATCCCCGTCCTCCTTGAATCCAGCTCAGCCCTGAGACTTGCTTTTATGGATAAAACGCAGTAAAAATGATGGTGCACCAGCCCGGCCGGGGTGGCTCAGGGGCTGAGCGTCGATCTATGAACCAGGAGGTCACGGTTGGATTCCCAGTCAGGGCACATGCCTGGGTTGCAGGCTCGATCCCCAGTAGGGGGCGTGCAGGAGGCAGCCGATCAATGGTTCTCTCTCATCATTGATGTTTCTCTCTCTCTCCCTCTCCCTTCCTCTCTGAAGTCAATAAAAAAATAATTTATTTTTTTAAGTGATGGGATGGGGCACCAGTTCTGAGCCTGGCTGCAAGAGGCGGGCACATTCCGCCCTCTCTCCGAACCCTCCCAGGAACAAGCCAGGGCCAGCCTGCTGGAGGGGCAGTGGCCACATGGAGCAGAGAGGGCGGCCCACAGAGGCCACCCTAGCCGGCCAGCCCCCAGCCTTTTCTTAAGTGATGGGGCACCAGTTCTGAGCCTGGCTGCAAGAGGCGGGCACATTCCACCCTCTCTCCGAACCCTCCCAGGAACAAGCCAGGGCCAGCCTGCTGGAGGGGCAGTGGCCACATGGAGCAGAGAGGGCGGCCCACAGAGGCCACCCTAGCCGGCCAGCCCCCAGCCCTCCTGGGAGCCAATGATAGACACATGAGTGAGCCCAGCCCAGCGGAACCCGCCTGGAGCCCAGACTCCCAGCCCACGGGCTCGGCAGCTACTAGTAAGTAAATGCTGTTTGGAAACGGTCTGCTAAGCAACCCAAACTAACTGGCGTCTGTCCGCTGCCTCCATTCATTCCCCTTTCCTCGGAGCCTCTAACCTGGTGCCTGGAGCAGAGGCTATTCCTGTGTGACCCAAGTCCCCATCTCCTACCCACATGGCCCGGCTAGTCACACGCTCGGCTGCGCATCTGTGACACCGAGAACCAGAGGCCGCCGCCTCTCCCTCGGCAGGAGCTCTGCTCCCCCGGAAGCCCTCCAAGCACCGGCCGATGCCGCTGTGCTCATGGCTGTGCTGACGGAAGTCGGTGGAAACGGGGGTGTGAATAAATCCCTGCCCACTGCACACCCCACCCCAGCCCGAGGGCGGGAGACAAAGGCCTCTGGTGCTTTACAAATGCCTTCAGGGCTTGATAGGAGGGTCTGTCTGAAAGGCTGGGTTCAGCCCCCAGTGTCCCGCCCTCAGCATCCACACCCAGCTCGCGGTGACAAGGCTGCTGAGATTGACAGCTGGGACTGGCCAATCAATCACCCCTGGGGGAGTGTCGCCAGGAGGGCGGTCACAGCAATCGCATCACAAGAGGCGAAGCAGCCTTCAGCGATACACACTGAAGGATTATGGGTGAAAGGACATGATGTCTGCGATTCACTTCCAGATAATACAGGAAGGTGGAAGAGGAAAGACAGACGGTGAGACGGGACCGGCCGTGAGTCAGTAACTGTTGGAGCTGGTAATGGGGGGCCATGCTCTCCTACCACCTGGCCTGGCTGGGTGCTCCCGAGCAGAGAGCCCTGAAGGACAGAGTGGGTGCCACGACCATCTGCTCAGCACATTTCCAGCTGGGCCGGCAGCCTATGTCCGTGACGCCTGTAACTCTCACCACAAGCTTTTGTGAGATTTACGACCCCCTGGGTGTAGGATGAGGAAGCGGAGGCTCAGAGACCTCGACAAGTTCAAATAGCGCAGCCCGGAAACGGCAGAGCAAGGCTCAAACTTGACTCTGGGGGACCTCAAAGCCCTGACGTTCCCAGCCTCTTCTCCAAGGCCAGGGACCACATCGGTCCCTCCACCAGGCGCCACCTGCCCTGGGCTCATCGGGCAGCTATGGCCCCTGGGTCCCCTGCTCAGCGGCCCCTGGCAGCCACACCGATTGGACCCCCGGGCCCGCCGCCAGTACCTTGTCGGTGACGAGGGGCAGCCGCATGCTCTCCAGCTGGCCTCCGGGCTGGCTGAAGACGAAGTGGTGCTCCTTGGACTTGGGGATGATGAAGTGGAGCTGGATCTCCTCTCCTAGCATGGAGTAAGAGAAGGCAAAGGCGTGCAGGGTGGACTCATAGAGCTGGGGTGCGGGGGAGAGGACAGAGCCCGTCGTCAGCGGCCGGCGGAACCTCCCCGAAGACCCCAGGCCCGCGTGGCCGCCACGCTTCTCCAAGGCCAGGGACCACATCGGTCCCTCCACCAGGCGCCACCTGCCCTGGGCTCATCGGGCAGCTATGGCCCCTGGGTCCCCTGCTCAGCGGCCCCTGGCAGCCACACCGATTGGACCCCCGGGCCCGCCGCCAGTACCTTGTCGGTGACGAGGGGCAGCCGCATGCTCTCCAGCTGGCCTCCGGGCTGGCTGAAGACGAAGTGGTGCTCCTTGGACTTGGGGATGATGAAGTGGAGCTGGATCTCCTCTCCTAGCATGGAGTAAGAGAAGGCAAAGGCGTGCAGGGTGGACTCATAGAGCTGGGGTGCGGGGGAGAGGACAGAGCCCGTCGTCAGCGGCCGGCGGAACCTCCCCGAAGACCCCAGGCCCGCGTGGCCGCCACGACGCAGGT